TCACCACCCTGTTGGCCAACTCTTTTTCCTGCTGCGCAGTCATGCCTGGAGGGATAAATAGGTCCATGACCAACCGTCACTGCAGATCCACCACCGAGGGTAATAAATATACCATAGGCATATACTGGTGCCTGATCCGAAGGCAACCTTAGTGGACAGTGGAAAGGTAAGAGGTCTTCTTCCAGGAAAAAAACGGCCAAGAGCAAGGAGTTTATACCTTCAAACAGCAATGCAGAAAAAGAACTGAGGGTCGCTTCGGAGGGAGACGAATTAGTACAGCTCGCCCACCGTCCCAACGAAACTTACCCACAAAAGCTCATGACAAGAAAAAACTTCGCTAAGCGGCCCGGCTAGAAAGTTCGCCATTGGGGTTCGCTGGGCTCGATAGGATGGCCAGATAGGTATGAATACAAGGCAGAGGAAAGCGAATTCCATAGCGTTCATTTGACGGGTCACTTTCACTTCGTGTTGCAATGGTCTGCTCCCTCCTCCATTAACCCTTAGCCAGCAAGAGTTCGTAGTGGGAAACAGCTTTTTTAGGTAGACAGCAGTTGCGAACTAGTAACGCATCTTCCCATAACAGCCCGAAATACCTAATGTGCTACCTCAGCAATCCCGAAGCGGAAAATACCTGATTCCAGACCTCACCTGGGATATCTTGTATCCGAATGAAACCATACTGCGAGAACACCGATGGTCAAATGGTTGAGGTCCTGGGACAGTGAAGTCCTCAAGAAACAAAGTGAGACTCATCATGGGTATTGTAACCACGGTCTCTCAGTTTCAGTGAAATTGATCTGAGATAGCACAAGCAGCTTCTCGACGATGTACACACCGACCAGAGACAAGTTTGAAGCAATCTAATAAAGAACCAATCTCCCTACATCACAATTTCAAAGGCATAGGAAACTTAGACACGCTGGAGTAAGATAACACACGCCGAAAACAAGGGACGGCTTGCGACTTTCCATTTCGAGTAGACCGTGGGGGATCTAAAATAGTCAAGCAACAAAGCTATAATCGCACACAGGACATCTGTAGGGGCAGTCGATATAGTAGTCACTAACTACCAACGTGGCAGCGTAAATGTGACAGTACCCTGCGCGTTGGCAACCATACCTTGATCAAGGACTCCAAACACCAACGACCTGACTTACCGCCAGCCTTTACCACATTACAGGACGACTTACGGTTGACATACATAGGAGACTGACTGACCTAAATTAACCACGAAGCAGCCCCTTTGCTTCACATCCAGTTCGGTTTATCAGCTAAAAACAGCATATGGAAGTGCAGTGGTTCTAGTTGCCACAGGCTACCTCACTGAGGATAAGAGAATGAGAGTCAAGCGTTAGCCAAATAGTTCATTGACACCGATATGGCAGGTGATAGGCACGTACTTGATACAAGACCACCGTTGCCCACGTGACACAACCATACGTCAGGATCACTAATCATTCGTTTGCCTCGTCCCGGGGTCCCCATCCAGGGTTAGCAGTTCCCAACACGACTCTGTAGACCGCTAAGACCTTTCATGTGTCGTTACCAGGTCGCGGAGCGTCCACCATTGGTCGTCTCTAGCCAACACAAGGCTGGGCGAAGAGGCAAACAGTCCTGCGGTAATCGAACTATATGGCCTAACCAGCGCAACTTGTGGAGTGTGACCAGCCGGTCTGTTGAGACAAAATAACGCTTTCCGAAAGCCACCTGGAGTACCTAAGCATTACTGATTTGATGTTCCCAGGGGAATGAAGAAATGTTTCGGAAGCATCCATGGTCAGTCTCGGGAAATATTAAGAACGGGACGGACAAATTCCTGACACAAGGTAAGACACATCGGACCGCAGCATTGCACTCTGCACTGGGCAGTCAAGCTGATGTCACTTCGGTACAATAAATATCCGAGGTTAGCCAATGCTGACCTGGTTTTCCCAATTCAGGCCTTCGGCGGTCTACGAGGACTCACGCGACTGCCAAGATAGACGAACCTAAATAACAGATCGATCGGTTGACCAGCAGGTATGACGTTCGGGTTCGATAACACCCAATCTTGCAGAAGCAATTTTCACTCTACAGGTGGAGGGCATTTCCAAAAGGTCTGAAGCAAGAAGTGACGCCGGCGTACTCAACGCCCATTCATTCTCGACGGAAGACCGAGATCTATTCGGAACTAGTTTGTATCCCCCGCGGACACCATGTGCGAACCGGTCAGAACAGGCCTTAACCGAACTGCGCACTTCTACTTCAACCAATCACGTGCACCATAGTGGAGGCAAGATTGGTGGACAAGAGGCAGGTCGTAGTAGCCAACATATCGACATTTCACATGTTAGCGTAATTTATCGGAGCCCTTATTCCTAGTTAGAAAGGATGGCGCGTCTGGGCAATCCAGCGAGGAGCCTAAGGGCGCTGGCCGAACAACGATCGTCACACCAACTACACGTCCACTTAGACCTCCCACCTGCGTTCATCTTAGCTGGACACCACTGACCACCCCTACCGTTTCTGCCGCATCAAAGGATACACCCGGAGGTCAGAGATGACAATTCATCAACCGCGTCACTCCTACTCACTACCGAAAATTGAAATCCGATTATTTAGGCTGTCTACTCTACAGGACCATGGGCGGGAACACGCTATTCACGAGACAAAAAATCGACCAACCACACCGCCCCATGTATGCCTCAAAAGGACTTGGATTGCACACGCCAAACTCATTGAGATAAACCCACTGAAAGTGGCAGATCAACTGGCTCCTACACCAGTTGGATGCTACTACCAAGGAAATGAAGCATTTGGGCCTCCCCTAACTCGAGAACCTTATAATCAGTGATAAGACCCTCTGCGGGTACCAGAAAACTAGGTAGACTTCCCAGCATCGATAATTTCCATAAAAAGCATTTCCCTAGCATCGATCAACAAGCAGCCGCATTAAATGATTTAATAACTAAAGGACGGAACCATTGGTGGGCCACGTCAGGCCATAATTGCAACGACCGTAAAATGGTCAACACGTGATGACCTGCAGTTGAATGTCTAGAGACTAATATTTCCGTAAGGCATTCTACAGCAGGCCTAAAATTCGAGCCTTCCGGGAAGTCAGCTAGGACAATGAACCGCCACAAGACTGGTGCTCGCACGCTATTCAAGCGGAGATAGACTTACCAATGTATCCACCCTTCGCCAGTTGCATCAAGTGGACAGTCCCGGTGCGAAAGCGACGCAACTACCATCGTTGAGAAGATAGAATTTAATTTAGGGTTCGCAGCCTGGTAATAGAACTTACCTACTTCGACGTGACAACCGACTTGGTTATGGCACTGAACATCGATGAATGGTGGGACCACTCTCATAAGCTTCACAGGAGTCAGGTTGTGGCTAATATTCCACAAAACGAGGTCAGTTTCATGGACCTAGGTCTGAGTATTCGGTGAGCCAAGTAAGCTTACATCTCCAGCAGGCGAGTGTTGGGAAAGGACTAGAGGGGCTATGCGGCCTTACAATCCAGACACCGTTGGCGTAACTAGGACAACGATCTGCATTCGAGATCCATCCAAATATCTGCCCGACGCAGTTAAAGCTGCCATGCTATCTTTGATGGTGGTACGCAGGAACACCATCAAAGCTATAAGCTGTGTATCTACCTAGCTAGCTGATCTAAACTATAGTACGATCGTTCAGTCATAACACCCTTTCGGTGCCTGGCTGCCATGCCACCTGAAGAAAGCAAGAGGGCTGGTATATTGCTAAGTTGCCCAAGCCTAGACGCTACGTAAGGAAGAACTTGCGGCGGATTTGCACGCGCTTCAAAACTGCTACCTAAACAGCTTCTTATGTTATCCATCGCCGCGGCAGATAAATAACAAACTACTTAACAGTAGTGTCACATTATTCCGAAATTCATGCAACGGCAGTACGCAGTCAAGCGGCTGCATGAGGCGATCCAGTTAGCACCACCTCGGCATATTAAAGTCGAGCCAAGCCATTCTTCTTCCACACTCGGTTACTTAATTTCAGTAGTTTCCCCTGCAATGTGTCGACCACTGGCCGATTGGAAACTTGGAGGCTGCACCAAAACGTTAGAAACATACTGAATGACGATATTGGAACCATTTCAAACTCCAGACAAATAACAATTCATGTGCTCCTATGAAACCCTATAAACATTCTCTGGACCTTTTCTAGCAAGCCCTCTTTTGCAACAGGAAGCTGCTACGTTGGAATAAGAACAGCAGTTCCTACGAAGAATACCAAGAAGTATAAGTGAGATGTGAAATGTTTAGAGCTCCCCTGACTCTAGAAATCCCGTTGTACTAAAAAAATTGCGAAGACCTGTAAGGGAACTCATTTCTGTATGATCAGTAAATACACGAATGAACAACTATACACACGATACACCAATGGTCCGAAAATACGAAGATGGGGTAAAATACACCGAGGAAATGAGCATTACTCACAGATGTTCCTTGTGTTAGTGATAGGCAAATAGACAAAGCATAAGAGCATGGCATCAGTTTCTGGATACACGGTAAACAGTCATTAATTCTAATCAATAGGTTGCACATCTAGTACGGACCAGTCATACACGCCTTCGCAGGGTTGTGCGAGTCTTACGGGGTGATATAGACAGCTCCCCTTTAACAGACTGTGTATCGGATGTTCCACGTCTACCTCGCCTTAAAGTGGGACCGGCTAAACTCGGGCTGTTATTAGCCGTTTGTGAGAATGATTTCTTTCTAAGAGAAGATGCTTCAGTTTTTTTAGTGGACTTTCGGATCGGTACCGATACTGCAGTACGTGTGCTGGGCTGATTGGAACGCACTCTCTTGGACGAGACAGTTGGAAGTGACTGTATTTTCGGACTAGTGACTGCATGTTGCAAGTAGCCCTCATCAACAGCCACCTTTTTCCCACCCCGCAACTTACGAGGGGTCACAGAAACCTTCTGGAGTAAAACCTTGCTAGATTTGCTGGATGCGTTTGCAGAGGCCGAACGTGGCGATTCCTTCTTATCTATAACAGTAGTAACAGCACGCCTTTTCGTAGACGGCGGATGTACAGTGGAAACGTCTTTCGAATTAACTGGAGAGTGCTGTGAAGCATCCAGTTGGCGCCTTTTGGTTCCAGCAGCCAGTACTCCAAGCTTATTTTCCGAACCGGGAGTGGAAACCTTGGCTGCGACCAACCGCTCGGGTCGAATGATTCGCTTCCCTCGTGCAGGTGATGACAGCTTGGGGCCCTTAGAATCAACGTTCTTCGTGCCAAGTTGGACACGACTGCGAGTCTGTCTCGCTATCGTTGGTTTAGCATCCGGTATCCCTGGAGTGTCCTTGAGGACAGATTTACTCACCGACCTTGAGGACTGAACACCCCCACGTAGGTTGCGTTTCTTTCTCACGGGAGAGTGCTCTTCAACAAATCCAGGAACCTCTGCCGTCCTCCCACGCCGTCGAGAACCCATAACAGACACCAACGACGACGGCAAAGTTGATGAACGGTGATCGGTGATAACGGAAGAATTTCCATTGGTGTTACCTCCCATAGACTTAGGCTCCTTGGACGAGACGTCTGAATCAAGATCACCTATAACAGTTTTCGATTTCCCCACAGATTTGGGAATTTTTTTATTGTTGAGCTTACCGCGACAAGAGCGCATACGGCTTTCTTTTGAAACAGAAGGTACCTCATCTCCAACTGAGATACTTCGATGATCGACGCCTACCTGTCTTCGACGAGCACGCACCACACCAGCTGGAACAGCTGCAATCAGATTATCTTTCATACCACTCTTATCATTAGCTGAGGATGAAGCACGCGGACGACCAACACTACGATGAGGACTCACTACATTCACATCGGTTGTCTGAAACAGATCGGCTACTCCAGATACACGAGGAGTGCCTGAAGACTTCGGCGTTTTCATCAATCGACGAACACCCGTCAGCGGAGTCTTCGAAAAAGTTCGCTTCGTACTACGTGGTGTCGACGATGCACTTTGCTTCGCAGATGACGCTCGTGGACGACCAACACTACGATGAGGACTCACTACATTCACATCGGTTGTCTGGAACAGATCGGCTACTCCAGATACACGAGGAGTGCCTGAAGACTTCGGCGTCTTCATCAATCGACGAACACCCGTCAGCGGAGTCTTCGAAACAGTTCGCTTCGTACTACGTGGTGTCGACGATGCACTTCGCTTCGCAGATGACGCTCGTGGACGACCAACACTACGATGAGGACTCACTACATTCACATCGGTTGTCTGGAACAGATCGGCTACTCCAGATACACGAGGAGTGCCTGAAGACTTCGGCGTCTTCATCAATCGACGAACACCCGTCAGCGGAGTCTTCGAAACAGTTCGCTTCGTACTACGTGGTGTCGACGATGCACTTCGCTTCGCAGATGACGCTCGTGGACGACCAACACTACGATGAGGACTCACTACATTCACATCGGTTGTCTGGAACAGATCGGCTACTCCAGATACACGAGGAGTGCCTGAAGACTTCGGCGTCTTCATCAATCGACGAACACCCGTCAGCGGAGTCTTCGAAACAGTTCGCTTCGTACTACGTGGTGTCGACGATGCACTTCGCTTCGCAGATGACGCTCGTGGACGACCAACACTACGATGAGGACTCACTACATTCACATCGGTTGTCTGGAACAGATCGGCTACTCCAGATACACGAGGAGTGCCTGAAGACTTCGGCGTCTTCATCAATCGACGAACACCCGTCAGCGGAGTCTTCGAAACAGTTCGCTTCGTACTACGTGGTGTCGACGATGCACTTCGCTTCGCAGATGACGCTCGTGGACGACCAACACTACGATGAGGACTCACTACATTCACATCGGTTGTCTGGAACAGATCGGCTACTCCAGATACACGAGGAGTGCCTGAAGACTTCGGCGTCTTCATCAATCGACGAACACCCGTCAGCGGAGTCTTCGAAACAGTTCGCTTCGTACTACGTGGTGTCGACGATGCACTTCGCTTCGCAGATGACGCTCGTGGACGACCAACACTACGATGAGGACTCACTACATTCACATCGGTTGTCTGGAACAGATCGGCTACTCCAGATACACGAGGAGTGCCTGAAGACTTCGGCGTCTTCATCAATCGACGAACACCCGTCAGCGGAGTCTTCGAAACAGTTCGCTTCGTACTACGTGGTGTCGACGATGCACTTCGCTTCGCAGATGACGCTCGTGGACGACCAACACTACGATGAGGACTCACTACATTCACATCGGTTGTCTGGAACAGATCGGCTACTCCAGATACACGAGGAGTGCCTGAAGACTTCGGCGTCTTCATCAATCGACGAACACCCGTCAGCGGAGTCTTCGAAACAGTTCGCTTCGTACTACGTGGTGTCGACGATGCACTTCGCTTCGCAGATGACGCTCGTGGACGACCAACACTACGATGAGGACTCACTACATTCACATCGGTTGTCTGGAACAGATCGGCTACTCCAGATACACGAGGAGTGCCTGAAGACTTCGGCGTCTTCATCAATCGACGAACACCCGTCAGCGGAGTCTTCGAAACAGTTCGCTTCGTACTACGTGGTGTCGACGATGCACTTTGCTTCGCAGATGACGCTCGTGGACGACCAACACTACGATGAGGACTCACTACATTCACATCGGTTGTCTGGAACAGATCGGCTACTCCAGATACACGAGGAGTGCCTGAAGACTTCGGCGTCTTCATCAATCGACGAACACCCGTCAGCGGAGTCTTCGAAACAGTTCTCTTCGTACTACGTGGTGTCGACGATGCACTTCGCTTCGTAGACGACGCATGTGACCAACGGGTCGGTGGACTGAGATTAGATGATGGAAGTAAATCAGCATCAGGTGGTATGCGTGGCGTTATGGAAGACCTCGGAGTTTCCTTCAATCGATGAGCACCAATCATGCGCTTAGCACTGTGAGAATTGTTGCTCCTTTCAGCAGACGGAATAGATGAAGACCGCGGTCGTCCAACATTACGACTTTCAGGTGGACTGACACCATTCATTTGGGATAAAGCAGCAACACCAGACACCGATGGGGTCCTAGATTTAGTGTTGTTCGAGAGTCGGCTGGTAGTGGTGGGCGTAATCCAACCACTGCTTTCCTCTAGCGGAACAGACGATGCGCGCGGACGACCAACACTATGGCGGGGGCTATCCAGTGACAACACACCCCCTGGGTCTTTTTCTAACAAGTGATTCGTGCTTAAAGGACTGAATAATAGAGGACTCTTTCTAGAATAGGCGGATGACAAACGTGGATGAACTAAACTGCGACGAGGACTGTTGGTTTTGGCATCGGTCGAATGAACTACTAAGGGCGAGCGACTCTTACCAGAAAACGAAGCAGAGATACGTGGGAAGCCAGTGCTTCGATCTTGATTGCTAGCCCCAGAATGGATCGTTGCGGTTCGGTGAGGAGAAGTAGGAGTGGAATGAGGGACACGTGGGACTGCTTGCTTACGAGAAACCTTTTGCCAGGCTGTAGCTTCGGGACCAAATGAATGTCGAAGATGAGGCTTTAATGTTCTCCCAGGTGAGCGCTGTTTATGCGCCGGGGCGGAGTATGTTGCAAAAGAAATGGGCCTCTCAGAACTCTTCAATGAGCCATTCAACGAATCTAGGAGGTTAGTATCTGGCGTTGGTGGTAACGAAATAACTCCTGAAATCCTACTAGGTGTAGCAGTCACATAGCTTGGTGAAAACATTGGTGTTTGTTTCTGAGAGACTCCAGAGACAGATCTAGAAAACGGTGTGGGTGCCCTGTGTTTCAACAAAGCATTCGAAGTACTTGGAGTAGTGGCTTCCTGTGGAATTGCTCCCTTCTTTACTGGTGTGGATGGTGGGAGAGTTTTATCGAACTGCTCAGGACTTAATGCTGGACCGAACGAAACACCCTTTGCCCGCTTCGCAGCTGATCTGATTATGTTTTCAGTCACCATACTAGCACGACTATCTATCGGTCGTTTTATCTTGGCATGCAGTCCTCGCGCGGTATTTGGATGCACAGGCTTCTTCGTAAGGCCCTCGAGTGAAACTTTATTGGCTTTCAGTTTGTCCTTTAGTGAACTGGATGGACTTCCAAGGCGCGCTGTGTGATATCCAGAGATTTTAGTACCAGGTGTACGCACAGGTGAAGCAGCTAGTTCAGTCGCCGCACTTGATGAGCGTCCAGGAGGTGTCACTGTGGTGATACCTGATCTGTCACTTCCATGATTCTTCGAGGTGAGAGATAAGCGCGATGTGCTTCGAACGTTTGAGCGTCTGACACCATTTCGGGCCCTGTGAGGAGATTGACGTGAGTCCAGTACTTTCGGAGCGGGCGATCGTACTAATGGAGACGGTGTAGGTAGCGCACTTCGTGGCGAGCGTGGGCTAGTGCCAGAAAAAGCGGGTGTAGGTTTCCCCACTCGAGTAGCGGATTTCGGAGAAAAAACCCCAGGGGACTGAGCGATCTTGCGGGGTGCACCTTTAGATAAACGTGGAGTCGGGTGTTTCTGTAATCCGCTAGGGTGAAAGGGAGTGAAATTCGGTGACGAAGCAGGGGGTGTGTGCTTGAGTATATGTACGGAGGGTGGAGTGGAAGTTGGTCGTGGAGGAACCGGACCATAACGTTCACGAGTTCCCAGGGGCGGTCTCGGCGTGCCTGATAAGGGACGAGGTGTAACGCGCGACGTGACTGGCCCGGGTTTTGGCGTTAGTTTCCGCGAGGGGTGAACTTTTGGCATTGAATCAGGAGTAGCAACCTTCGGGCTTCCATGTCCTTTGACAAATGAGTCTCCTGCAGCCGTTGGGGTGTTGGCCTAGAAGAAACGATACGCAGTTAGCAAGCATAACATATTTTCAAAAAACCTGAAAGAACTAATGTCAGAAAACGGAAAAACCGTATATTAAAATAATTTCAAAGTAGAACACCATACATTTACGGTTATTCCCGATACGAATTTGCCGTACAACCTAAAGCTCTGGCAAACGCGATCGTTCATGGTCGTCTGTACCACTGCATGATTGGAAGGCATAGCATCCAAGCCCTGGTGGAATGGGAACAGGGCAGATTGATAAAACTGGTGGAATCAGGACTTCAGAAATGGAGGGAGCTAGTGCAGCGAATATACAGAAGCCGTTTCATCTTGTACACAAAAGAGGACCCCTAGACCCTTGTTACCTAGACCATCCCAAAGTGAAATTATAGCATTTCACAAGAACCGAAGTCTTGACCGCTGGGATGGATATTTTCAACAGCAGTTTAGTTGGCTATCTGCCTCTACACCCACTCTCATTCAACCTATGGTCTGAGTTTAGACCCTTTCTCAGATTCCAAAGTGTTATTGCGACCTTCTGCCCTGACGTGCCAGACGACCGGAGGCTCCCATGAGTTTTTTCAAAGACGGCGGTGAATGGTCGTTGGCTTGTTCGCTGAGCTGGGCAATTTGGTTGCAAACGTTTCATCACCAATCGAGGTGACATCATCAGTGCGTAGTTGTGCGTAGCGGTGGGTTAGTGGTTTGGTGGTGGTGAATCTCCATATTTTAAATTGACCTAGTGGTTTCAGCAAACTGTAGCTAATCAATAAATATGCATCTATTGAGAAAAAGATGTCTGAAAGGACTGTTTCAGTTGTTGGGACTACAAACCTAGCTGAACACGATCACTGGATTCACACTGCGATGAATGATTTCATGTGGGACGCAAGTTCGAGGGCACCAGGTAAGAGCAGCGTCACAAATACCAGCAACACTTGCGGTTTTCTTAAACTTCGTGAATATGTTGACATTAAAAATGCTTGGGCAACGACGACTGTCCTCTGAACATTCTTTGGATCAAATATTCCCGCACTTCTGGTTGACTCACGGTTCATAATGAGCTATCCTGAGGTTTCCGCTGGAAGGGTTCGTCACGTTGTCCCCTGATCAGTTATCATCGGCATCACAATGGAGTGGGTTGTTGGTGTCAAGATCACATCTGGAGGAAGATCAGCGGATTTAAATTGTGCGGACCGTTTGGTCTTGATATCTAACGACCGCAGGACCACATAAACTACTCTGATGTGACCCTTTGTTCCGGAGCGCACGCTACACATTCAGGATTTCACTTTCCTTGTCTTTCTTTGAAACTTCAGAATTACTGACGACAAGTTTACTTGACTTGAGAGCTGCACATGTCTACACTGTGACGGTGAAATCAGTGCACGTATCTCAGAAGGATGTTTGGCGCCAGGAACTGGTTCCACTGGAGCTCAAGGGTTGTATATACAAGCTCGAGATGGCTGTGTTTAGGGTACGTGGTTGGAATCCAACCCCGGTATCTAGACTGCTCCCGTCCAAGTCTAGGCAGCCGGAAAGTGTTTCAGCCTTCGTGTTTTCCTCTACCGACATGGCAGCTAGACACCGGAATGGTGCTGCAGCTGAACGATTAGTTATGTTATGTACCAACAAAACCATCGTGGGAAATCGTCCTCTTGTCTACAGACCCCAAGCTCCTTCAAATAATCGTAGCGCAACTGGCGTTAAGAAGTCAACCGAAATTGACAAATAGTCGGATTCGCCTGAGTGGGAGATAACGCTTGTCAAGTCAATGTGTCTCGAGCACGTATGCCAGACCACCATCGACCAGGGGAAGCGTTTTCTACTGTAAGTATAAGGTACGTAGAGGACGCGCCATGATATACCAACGTGAAGTAAAGACGGCAATTGTAGGAGTTTCGCACCTTCTTGGGTGGCGCCTGATCCTATGGTTAACATTTCCAGAGAAATTGCCGTCGTGTGGTGAGCTTGGGTTGGTTGAACTACGTAAATGCTCCTGAGTCAATGAAGTTTATGGTGTCTACTCCAACATCATGTTCAAATGTATTTTCTCCAAGACTCTGTAAAGTGTAGGAGCCTCGCTTGTTTCTTCAGTTTTTTTCGGTACAAGTCCCTTCTCATTTTATTGAGACGTTTTCCCTCCATGATTAAAATGCCAGCTTCGACTGCTCTTGTATAGGCTTGGGTAATCTGGCAGTATCCCAGCCCTCCTACCTCCTCACATTGACATGGCACCTAGGCACCGAAAGGATACTGCATCTGAACGACAGCATGATAGCTAGGCAACAATCCCCACTACTGGCGTGTTGGTACCCATTGTGGTGATACAGGCTCTGTAGTGTTGCGGAAGGCGTAGTAAACCAACCCTGAAAAGTCTGGACAAATTGTGGTGTATATTTCGAATAGCAAGCAAGCTGGGAGTGTCGGACAAGCAATAAACCACCAGTGAGATGTTTCATGTCTCTTGTCCGGTTCTGTACATTTCTCTTATGGGAAAGCCAAAAGCAAGCCCATAGGATAAGAACCCCGGTACTCAACCCATCAGTGATTGGTGACATTGTCAGACAGGGTTCAATCGCGCAGTTGATGGTGTTCCCATGGCCCAGTATCATGTCCCTTCAAATAAGACTGATGAAATATGAACTAACTCCTTACGCAGTCGCCATCGACGCTTGGCTGTATCTGCCAATCAAGCAATCCAATTTACCAGCTATTAACTGTGCACCATAGGTGTATTTTTTTAACTGCTATAATTTCGAACACCGGAAAGTGGAAGCGTGGGACATACAATCAAGCTTTGAAGGCGATGGCATGTTTGGTTAGTTCGGAAACTGGGTGGCTACACGCTGAAGGCGATAGCTTTCAGGCACAAGCACCACTGATTGATTGTGGCACTTCTGCCAGTGTCAGTAACCGCTAGTGAGTTGAGTCCCCGGAGTCTCCATCTCGGAAAACGGTAGTTGTCGACCCGACTCAGTAGAGGTCTTCATACTTAGCGAATAGACACTCATTTGCAAACTAATTTGGTTTTTTCGAGAGACTCACCTGGAACCCAGCTGAATCTCTCGTTTATGATGTTCTCAGGCAACTGAATGTGCTGCACCAGGCCACCTCATGTTTCAGTCGCTACGATATTTGAAATATCGCGATACATGTATATCTTTGTGATGTACTACTCATAAGGTTGCTGAAAATCCGTCGAAGGCCTACGACCGGTTTCGCCCTTTTTGGGGCTCATCAGGTAGGCACAGTCCCCGGGTTTCCGTCAACCTCATGTTCTACTTGAAACCAAATTGCACGGAATTAGCGAATATACACTCATCTGCAAACTAATTTGGTTTTCTCAAGAGACTCACCTGGGACCCAGCTGAACCTCTCGTTTTCATACTTCGCCGTCAAGTCACACACCGTCCGTCTCTTGATTACCTCCACTCAGTACAGAGCTGAGCGATCATAGCTCTGCCAGGCAGACGGTCTCCTGGCATGTTGAGTACATGATCTAACCAACATAATCCGTGGAGCGTGAGTATTTCATCTATCTTCCTAAGACCATCTGGCGTACCCCAACATTACCAATGCGATGTTCCTACCAGACCTGACCAATTCTTCGGACACCGATGGTCAACCACTGACATTTTTCGTACATCCTCTGCGCGTATATGTCATGTCTTTGATCCTAAAGAAGTCTGGATCGCACTGCCGCGGTGTAAACTCTGCTCTTGATATACAAACTGACGTTTCGTCGGTGCCATAGGTGTCGGAGGTTGGAAAAAGCTCTTCTGCCTTTCCCGACCCAAGCCAGTCCGCCATGACTTATACAACTGCCCAGGTAAGAAAAAATTCTACAAAAACCGCCTGCTCTGCAAGCGCGAGGTTCCGTTTTGGTCCCAGACCAAAACACCCTGTTTTGTAGCAGCACCTTACACTTTGCAGGTGTGAAGAGCATGCCAAACCGTGAGGTAATTATTCAAAATGGTTTGCGTTTTTCAGGTATCTGAAACAGGGACAGCAATGTCGTCCGCATACTCACTGTCAATGAAAGAACGTCAACGGAGCATTTCGACCCACAAGGTTTTAGAGGCGGGTAGAGAAATTTCAAGCATATCAATAACAGTTGAAGAGAAAGGATGAGAGAGAGCAGCCTTGGTTCACACCACTGGATATGGTGAACTCGTACGCACCCACAGGGGTCCGCACACAGAGCCCTTTTAAGGGAACTGAATTTGGAACGGGCACCCTCAGTTGACAAACATTGCCAAAATTTCTGAGGAACGACAGAGCCAAACGCTGTTTTCAGATCAAGAAAAACGACCGACGTGAGTGGCGCTATCCAAGAACTTGACCGAGAGTACCTTAGATGTTATATGTACCAGATTGATGCTACGATGATTTACGTATGACGTTCTTGCGCCCTTTTTTGAAGACGGGAATGCCGGTCGAAGAGCTCCATTCGGCTGGTATTGCTTTTGTTCCAAATCTACAGTATGGTTGTCAGACTGTCCACCAGGACCTCGCCACCTTGTTTTGAGAGTGCGGGGTAAGCCATCCGCAGCAGGTACCTTGCCGCGCTTGAGGGTTGATATCTCAAGCTGGATTTCAGTTACTGGTGTCGATGTCCCATTCGGGCTCGCGTGGTTCAATATCCGGCTCCAGATCTACCACCCAAGTGTGCTATTTCCGGACTAAGTTGGCCAACATGCGAATTTACATCGCTCGCTAGGATTACGATATCCTTACTGCTGACCGAAACAGTGATGACAGATGTTGACAAAACCCGTCATTCTCGGTCCCCGAACTGCTGTCTGTTGGGGCGTATGCTGATACGACAAATAAATACCGTTTACAGCATCCAACTGCATCGACCTCAATCGAGCCGGGCAACACAGCGCAAGGACAATTGTTTATTGGGATCTAGTCCAGTATGGCGTTTTCAGTCTTGGAAATGAGTGCAACTCCCACACAAGACACCACAAGTCATTGAGTTGTATTCGTCAGATATCCGAAGAGTGAAATGTGGAACAGCTGAGCTCGTCCTAACCGGCTTGGGGTAAAAAAAATTTAAAAAAACTGGCTCAGTTGTAACACCCTTCCGGTGCCTAGCTGGCATGCCAACCGATGGAAGCACGAGGGCTGATACATGGCCAAGTTGCCAAGCCTGGACAGAAGTGCAGAAGCAGAGGCCGGGTTCGAGTCGCGAACTTTCCGGTCATTAACCGCTGAGACATCTCGCCTTAATCTGATTGTGGTGCACGACCAATATGGAGTCTTGCATGCAGGTTTCGGAGAAAACATATGTCGACGGGTTGAAGCAAGGTTCCAGTAAGAGATGCTTGTTGCCGAATCTGATATAGAGTATACGAACATTAAAAATAAAAACCGTTCAGCTGTAGCACCCTTTCGGTGCCTAACTGCCATGTCACCCGAAAGTTGTACGAGGGCTTGGATATTGCCAGGTTGCTCAACCCTGGACAGGGGAGGTCGAGAGGCAGAGGTCGAGTTCGAACCATGGACCTTCCGGTCAGTAAACTCGCACTTGGGCAACTCGCCCCGAACATTAAAGGCTGCAACCCGTATCAGATCTTTTGAGGTTGGAAAGAGTATTTTGAATTATCTTTCTGGGCGACGGTTTAGACACGGAACACTGGCTAGGGAACCGGTATATGAGCTGATCGCACTGCATCGTTCGATGGGTAAGGAGAAGTATAGGGTAAGGAAAGTGAGCGATGAGCTGAGGGCGAATGATACTTCCCAGCCGCCCAGGCGCAAGGAGTTTGATAGAGGTACTCCACCCTGAGGCTTCGACTTAAGTCTGGCCCACAAGGCAGTTGGAGTATACCGGTTTTTTAGGGACATTGAGTCAAAAGTCTGAACCGCGAGGTAACGGCTGTTAGGGTTTTCTCGAGAGACCTTCCCAGGAGTCAGTGGCCCAATGGTCTTACCTACTTGGCTGCTGGGGGGTGGCCCGACCCGAGGACGCAAGAACAGGGGATTACCAACCCGCTACCAGTGCCGCTGCACATAGCAGGTGCCTTTTGAGAAGTACCGGTCTTAAAGGTACTTCGATCGTATTGAATTCACCGACGGTCGCGGTCAACCGTTGGGCAATCGGACTGTGCTGTGTTTAGGGCTGACCTTTGCTAACCCATCTTTCCAAAGATGAAGATAGCATCACTACTTCTATGAATATGGACAAGCTGGTTGCCTGGGGGAAACGCCTCACTGTGTTCACAATCACATCGCAGAGGACAGTACAACTTTATCTCGGGACTGCCTCGTAGCACGCTTACTCGTATTACCAGGTATCGCCACAGGATCATTGCGGCACTCAAACCGAACCAACACGTTACGAGGCAGCTTTAGGTTGGGTTGTATCTACACCACTTCACCATTTTCCGGTGACCGAAACTCTGGCAGTTGTACCCTTGGTATGTGGCTCATAAGTGACGAGTACGCTAATAACCCACCCTAACTTTCTGGACATTCCCGTCGTTAAACCTCCAACGGTGCTCGAGGTGCCCATGTGACCATATGCTCACATTGTCTAACCATATTTTCGCCTAGGATGGTTTTCAGTAGTTCTGTCTATCAGACGATCCCCTACACGTGCTGCAGGGACGTCTATACGTATACACTTGAACCGACAACCGTGGGTCCAGTTGGGCATACTAATGACTTCAAAACGGTACCACCATACATCCTGCGCTCCAACCCTTTAGGTTCACACCTGGTAGTGGGGAGTTTAATGGGATACGCATTTGCACCTGCGCAAACTACATGCGGCATTACCCACTGCGCTGAAGCACATCAGCACATTTCGACGCGACAGGCCAATATGAGCTTAGTTCGAGATAAAATACTACTGAGTCCAGTTAACAATTATTCAAATTATGGTTGTTGGACAGAGATAAACGCATGCCACATCATTCACGGCAACAACTGCGAAGTTACTGACGCTTAACTACTGTGCAGCTAGGAGTTATATAACTGTCTAACTGTAATGAGCTTAAGATGCGTAACTACTATGACACCTGAAAGCAGAAGGGCTGGGATACTGCTAAGTCGTCCGAGCATAGGTCTAGTCTGGGTGCAAAGATCGCGTTTGATCCGCATAGGTTCCAGCCAGCAGGATCGCGCCTTATCCAGTGGACTATCTCATGCCCACTCAACTGTGTAGACCTTACCTGTATACAGGCCCATTGCTGACCAACCAGAAACAATCGCAAGTTGTGCAGATCTAGAATCAGTCAGTCTGGGCTGGGGAACCGTTGACACCAACTGGCGGTAGATTTGGAGATTAACATGCCTGACTCAATTTAGAGCCGTTCAGTGGGGCCTCTAGACACTGGATAAGTTGGACATAATCGCTATTTGCAGGAACACACCAGTAGTGAATTTTAATGCTATGTTGTATAGAAAAATCCAGACAATAACGAATGCAAATGCCAGCGTGGACAGTAATATCTGCGTACAGGCGACTACCATAATGATGACCAACGACATTCCAGCTGGATTATAAATTGCCGTTTAAGTTGCTGACCAGTGAACACGAGATTTACGCATACCCTGAACTGCCCTCGAACGGCCTTCACGTCCGAAGTGAAGGGTGTGGTGCGCTACAGAACTCGATGTTAACCTGAGGACATGATAAAATGTGATGCAAATCCTACGCATTGGAAAGCCCACAAGAATCTTGGGACCGACAATGCGCAACAGTTAGAGAGAACCCGTGAAGAGATACGATGTAAGAATACCGTCATGACAGAAAAAGCATGTCCTTGGATTAGACTCGAGTAAGCTTACCTGTAGGTGATCCCCAGGACTGTCGAAGTGAACCGACTTCCGCGACTACAGAGTGATATGGTAAGCTAAAAACGCCCTTACCGAGGGGTAGAAGAATCGGAATTGTCTGTCGCCAGCGGTGAGAAGACAGGCGTTCGGTAAGACACAACTACCATTCAATGGACTCGAGTAACTTACCTGTAGGTGATCCCCAGGACTGTCGAAGTGAACCGACTTCCGCGACTACAGAGTGATATGGTAAGCTAAAAACGCCCTTACCGAGGGGTAGAAGAATCGGAATTGTCTGTCGCCAGCGGTGAGAAGACAGGCGTTCGGTAAGACACAACTACCATTCAATGGAGTGCCGTTAATGAACATCTTGTACGGACCATCTAGTTGACTGGTTGCTTGTACAAGGCCATTATTCAGGAGTTCCAGGGTGCAGTGCACGGGGGCAACACTGGGCAGGCTGATGCTAATGTCACAAGAAGGATCCCTAAAGAAAATATTTAGGTACGGTGCGGGAGCTCACCTGCCAATTGCACACTTCGGTGAACACCACTCACAAGTGGGTCCATCAATGCCATCATGACGGACCACAACTATA